GTTCACCATCAACCTGCACCGAAGATGGTGGTGTTGGAAGATTACACAGCCCAGTGGTGGTCACCGGTTTGAGTAAACTGCTGTGAAACACCGGGTGGGTTTTCCCCAACATGGGAGGCAGCTTTAATTCTACCATGACCGGATTAATTACTCTGATGATTGGGAATGGACCTATGAACTTGAGACCCAGCTTATGGCAGGGCACTTTAAGGGTTAGGGTTAGTGCAGCATTAGTTTTCTCTGCTGTGCCATTGGTAGCCGGATGGAATGCAGAACTCAAACCCTAAGAGGACCCCACCCTCTTCAGGAAACTGCACCAAAATTGAGCAGTAAACTGTATCCCACGATCTAAAATTATACGTTTAGGTACACCATGCAAACGGTAAATATGTACTAGGAATAGTTTGGCCATTTTTTTAGCTGACGGAAGCCCTGGACAGGCAATGAAATAAGCCTGTTTTGAGAACAAATCAACTACTGTCCAGATAACAGTATCCCCCCTACTCTCCGGCAGCTCTGCAATGAAATCCATTGCTATATCTTCCCAGGGCTGAGTGGGTTATTTGTTGTAACAAGCCAGGTGGCTTCCGTGACAAAGCGTCTGCCATAAAATTTCACCCACCAGGAATATATATGAGATCTGACTTTTCTGTCACATTCCGGCATTCATGTTGCATACAGAGTTATATTATTATTGAGTTAAAAATGACTGCATCATTTTCAGAAGTAGCCATAAAATACTGTTTTATCATGATATCTATATAAACATAACTAAGAATGTTATTATGTAAACATTTTGTTTTAGCTATCTTTTGAGCTCTAATAGCAACGGGGGGAAATGCTTATATAAGTAGCTTGACTTTTATATCCCCACAAGTGCATCAAACATATATTTAAGAGATTTACTATTTACTTTAACAGGGATTTATCCAGAGCATTAATGGTTTGAATAAAACCATTATTTTTATTCTCTTGGATATACTACATTCAAATTAATATACATTGTATTACAATGATGATAATTGGCTGATAATGATAATTAGGAAATAGACATGCAAGAAAAAATAAGTTTTAGAGTGCCTACAAATCCTGTGTTATTTTTCTCCATAAATATAGACTCATTCTGCATTACCATTAAAACATATTTCCAACTGATTGTAGTCAACATTAAGGAACATGCATAAATTACACAAATGGCCATAAATGCCAATATAAAAGATTAAAGTTTGGCTAGATAATGGTCTCAGCTTTTTAAATAAATTGGGAAGTACAGTGCTTAATATATATATATTCCTCTTTGTTCTAGGCACAATCAAATCAATATTCAGCCACCCCAGACCCCAGCTCCCCCATTAGGATATGTCTCTGGAACATTAATATCAGATTTTGAAGCAGACATTCCAGAGGATGAAGATGAGGATGATATTGAAGAAGAGGCTGTAGAAATCACAAGGCCATTACGAGACCTAGAGCATACTTCAGGCTGCAGCATGGACAATCTTGACAGCTCTTTGACAGGTAGGAAAAGAACACTGATAAGCCCTATTTGTGAATGCAGAAAAAAATGTTATAAATAACAAACTGCAAGTTACAAAATAAAAAATAAGCAAAAATAATCCAAGGTAACTCAATCTGAATTGATAATAAAATTACTATGGTAGAAATGGACAACAATCAATTTAGATATGAATTTCACAACCTTAGAAGGGTTCAGACCTAGAGCAGCCATTTGTGCCTTCAGAAGCCCAAGTATGCATAGTCCACATATGTGATTAAAGTTACTTTATGTATTTAAGTTATTTAATGTTTGCAACAGAGGTGGGTTCCTACCGCTTCGGCCGAATAGGTAGTAACTTGGCGTGGGTCGCTGGAACCGGCAGTGACCCAGTCCTGCCATGCCCCCAAACTGGTTCTCTGGTCACTTGCCCCACCCACCCCACTCAGTCACTCCTCACCTCCCTGGTGGCTTCCCTGCCTAAGCCACACTGATGGGTTTTAAAAAGAACCTATTGTGTAGGTGTGGCCTGTTTTGTGGGAGTGGCTCAGTGGTCATGTGACTAGGTGGGTGTGGCTTGGTGGGCATGGCCAACTTGGAAAATGTGGTGAAACTCACTTAACAATGCTCTTGCTTAGCAAACAAAATTTTGGGCTCAATTGTGATCATCAGTTCTCTTTCTTTCTTTCCTTTCTTCCTTCCGTCCTTCCTTCCTTCTGTCTCTCTCTCCCTCTTTCTTTTTCTTTATTTTTTTCTTTCTTTCTTCCTTTCTTTCTCTTTCCTTCTTTCTCTCTTTCTTTCTTTCTCTTTCTATCTTTGTCTCTCTCTCTCTTTTTTCCACTCTCCCTCCATTCCTTCCTTCCTCCCTTCCTTTGTTTGTATCTCCCCCACTTTCTTCCTTCCTTCCTTCCTTTCTTTTTTCTTTCTCTCTTACTTTCTCTCTCTCCTCCCTCTCACACACACAT